TCCTATACAAACAAGATAGATAAATTATCGTCCATGGGCTCCTTGGTACAATGATGATTTACGTGCAGTTAAACGCGAGAAACGACACTTGGAACGGAAATTCAAGAAGTCTGGCCTTACTATTCACAAAGAATTATTTACGGAAGTCTGTAAGAAGTATAACAAAATGCTAGAAAGTTATAAGACCAGCTATTACAGAGATAAAATTAATCAAGCCAACAGAAACAAACTTTTCCGCCTTGTAAATGGACTATTCCAAAAGAATAGCAAAGCCTTGCCATCTTATACATCATTGGAGCTCCTTGTTGAAGAGTTTAACGACTTTTTTATCAATAAAGTTTGAAATATTAGAAATGAACTGGAACTGTACAAAGAAAATCTTGAAATAACTATATCACCTCAATCTCCGAAGCTGCCTCCTTGCAAGTTTAAAGAATTTCAACTACCCAATGAGAGCTCTGTGCAACAAATCATCAAGTCTCTGTTTACGAAGACCTGTTCGTTAGATCCTATCCCTACTCATGTACTTAAGAATCATTTAGAATCCTTGACTCCTCTGCTTACAGATATAGTTAAAACCTCACTCTCGGAAGGAGTATTTCCAAACACACTAAAGATATCTCATCTTAGCCCACGTCTGAAGAAGCCAGGCCTTGATAAAGATCTATTTCCAAACTTTAGACCGATCGCCAACATAGCTTTTCTTAGCAAAGTCTTAGAGAAAACAGTTGCGGTTCAAGCACAAGATTTCCTGAATTCAAATAACCTTTATCCTTCTTTCCAATCAGCTTATCGAAAATTCCATTCTACAGAGACAGCGTCACTGAAAGTAACTAATGACATCTTAAGAACCATTGACAATCACCAGGATGTCATTCTTGTAATGCTTGATCTATCGTCAGCTTTCGATACCTTAGATCATGATATATTATTGGCAAGACTTGAATCATATTTTGGATTTTCGGATACAGTAATAAAATGGTTTAAATCATATCTCACTGGACGTTCGCAATCTGTTGTAATTGGCGATGTTGTGTCCACATTAAGACATCTTGAATATGGCGTGCCATACACACCTTGCTCTATTTACACTCTACATAGCTCCACTTGAAGACGTCATATCGAAATACGACCTGATTCCGATCTGTATGTCACTATAAATCCTAATAATCCATTGACGTCCATTGTATAAATGAAGTTATCTTGTGGAACACCAGAAATATGCTACTTTGTAACCCTGGAAAAACTGAAGTTCTTCATCTCTCATCTCGGTTTTAAAAACATCAAAATCTGCAAGAAAATTTCTCATTTGCCAACACTACTGTCCAAGTGTCGGATAAAGTAGTCAACTTAGGATCTGTACTTGACAAGAACATGATTTTATCCAGCCATATAAATGAGATGTGTAAGAAAGCCATTCTAAACATAAAATCAATTGGCCGGATAAGAAAATATCTATCTAAAGAAGACCTAAAACAACTTGTAAACGCACTGGTAATTTCTCGTCTTGACTATGCAAACAGCATATTGTATGGACTCCCCAAGTACGAGCTGGACAAATTGCAACAAGTCCAGAATGCAGCAGCCCGGCTAATTACAGGGAAAAAGAAATCTGATCATATAACACCCGTACTGAAAGAATTACATTGGTTACCGATTAAATATCGAATAAATTTTAAAATAATTCTCCTAGTTTACAAGTCACCACATAACCTAGCTCCAGATTATCTTCAAAAAATGATTGAAGAAAGATGTCCTACACGTACACTTCGATCCTCCCGATGTTCACTGCTTTCCACTCCACAGATATACACCACGACATATGGAAAGCGTGCTTTTTCTCATGCTGCCCCGGAACTTTGGAACTCTTTGCCAGAATACATTAAATCCGCTGAGTCTATTTTAGAATTTAAATCTTTTTTGAAGACTTATTTGTTTAAAGTGCCTATAAACCCAAAATGGGTTTTTGATGATTCGGATAGAGCATAAAAAGTTACAATAGAAGTTCTAGATTAGAATTTGATTTAAACTTCTAGTTTCTGAGATACAACGGCTCAAAGTGCCAGATTCTGTCATTTTTGAAAAAAAAGTCGCGCAGTCAAAATTCACTGTAAAAGCCTGGGTCGGAGGAACACGTTCTTCGCCGTTCATTAGCTTTTGTATTACAAGTAGACGCAACTTCGAGAGTTTTTGCCTTAAAATGCCTAAACGGTGTGTCGTTTACGGTTGTTCCAACGTTGCTGACACAAACAAGGGTATTTCTATCTACCAAATACCTTTTTGGGATGATAATTCGCCCGTAGCGGTCAGGAGAAGGAAAATATGGCTGAGCTTTGTTCGACGCAGACGGGATAAATGGATCCCAACTAGCTCGTCGGTTGTGTGCTCAAAGCATTTCACTGAGGATTGTTTTGTTTACGGTTCCGAAAGTGTGGAAAAGTACAACACTCCGAGACTTAAGAGAGATGAACATGGGATTTGTGTCTTTCCTACAGTAGATACAAATCAACTTTCTGGCAGTGCGGAATCAGAGCGCACGAGTCGCATGAAGCGAAGGAAGGTATTGTAATATAAGCTGAATACTTTGTTTATTCACCCGTATTAAACTCGCATCATTCGCGCGTTTATTTACATATATTTGAATATTTGATTTGTGAATCCAACCTTTTCCTGTTATAAACTTATAACGTATTTGCATAAAGTTTAAACGCTCTTATGAAGTTATGTCGTGTAAACAGAGTCAGTATATTATGGCTTTAATTAATACTGTATGTTGTTGTATCACACATGGGCCAACGAAATTTATTAGTAATTTTATTATACCCTTTTATTATACCCTGTGGCTGTGACTACTTGATGTTTCAATTTAAAACTAGTCAGGAAAAAAAGTTAAACACAATTCAAGTGAAGTTATTAAGGCAAATAAAAAACTGGCCCAACACGGCCAGGTCAAGTACTGTAGTCACTCTGTACAAGTACTGCCGGTCAAGTACTGTAGTCACTCTGTTTATTACTGTATGAGACTAATCTTTTGGTTTTAACTTGATACGACAACAGGAACTTTTTGGAAACTCTGATGAAACACTGACAACATCAACTGCTGATGAGCCAGATGTTGAACCTTGCACATCTACAGAACAAGGAGAAATGGTATGGTTGTTGGTGTCGACAAACAAAGTTTCAATAGTGCTATGTGCTGTTGTTATGACTATCCACTTTTAGAGCCATAAGCCATTATAGCTTTGGTTTAGTAGTAAATGAGTTTATATGAGAGTAAATAAATATAAAACATTTTCTGTGTTTGAGTTTACCCAATTTGCCACTTGTGTTGATATAACTGTAATATTTTATCAATACAGAAAAAATGTTATATATGTTTTAGAATATAGCACAAAGAATATAGCACAAAGAATATGCAGGAAATTTTTGTGGGAAATTTTCCGTGTTTGCCATTGAGTTATGTCAACACGCCTCTTAGCCAATCAGCGTTCAGAATTTACAAATGATATATTCTAAACATGTATTCTATTCTTGTGCAAATTCTACAAATTATACATCAGAACATTAACATTTAACCATTAATATGTCTTTACTTCATCCATAGATCACAGAAACTGTTGAGTTGACGAATGTGACAACTGCAAGCTGCTTAAAAAGGAAAACTTAAGAATCCGCAGTTGGTGGCATACATCCAAGCAGAAACTTGATGCTGTCAGAGAAGAGCTAAGAATTCTCAAGGGGATGACTGGTAAAGATATTATCAAAATCTTTAAAACCCTATTACATTTCTACATTTTACTTACACTCTTAGACTGAAATTGTTTGGACAGGTTCATAAAAACGTAGCTGTATGCATTTATCCATGCATTTTACTTGGTACATGTAAAAAACTTCCACAATGCTATAACAGTGAAAATATAATATTTCAATCTTACATGCCAATAGCTTTTCCATATCGTTTCATTGTAAAAGTGAGCTGTAATGTGCTTGTTCGGGTAGTTCTGTCAATGATTGTAGTTTTATATTGGAATTAGCATGGATACTAATGAATTAAAATCGATAAATTTATTATTGCAACAGGTGAGAGCAGCAGGGAGGATATTCATGGTGGTAATGAGGGCGATGTTGAAAGCGATGTTGAAAGCGATGTTGAAGAAGTTGAGTGTGAAGAATTGTCTGATGATGTCGGTGAGATGGAAACTGAGACTGAAACCTCAGATACTGAAACCTCAGATACTGAAACCGATGAAGACACAAGTGTGCCGCCACAAAGGCAAGGAATAAATTTACTTTTTTAGTTATAGTATATGCTGTTCAATCAATAGCTATTTTCATGGATGGATAGCTTTTCTGGGGGGTGCACTCCCCCAAAATATTTTGCACCTCCCCCAAAAAGTTTTCCCAACCCATATTTTAAACTAAGTAAGACAAAGATTTTGAACTAAATATGACCAAAAACCAGGGTTTTTGAACTAAATAAGACCAAAAATCTCATAGGGTCTTCAATCCTTACCCCCATTACCAGCCTTTGCCCCATTATCCTTACAGCTCGTTTGGCGGTGTTATGCGACCCCTCTCTCATCTCCCCCTAAATTTTCCCCGTAATTACAGTATAAGAATGCAATAAAATATTACAATATTTTAAAATATTGCTCTATATGCATTTCCTTTGATATTTCAGGGTTTACAATGACGAATACAATCAAAGAACTGAACCAAAGTTTATTGTATTCTTCTCTCAGCTCCTGGCCCTTTTTCAAATTTGTCGTTTGTGCAAGTGTGAAAAAACCCTTGTTGAAGTGAATGCACATGGAACAATGGCAGAGGTGGTAACAGTGTGTGTCAACCCTCAATGTGGAAAGCGTACAACATGGTTCAGTCAACCCAACTTTCATGGAACCAAAATTGCAGCTGGTAACTTTCTTCTAAGCTATGGAATCATTTTGGCTGGAACCTCTGCAACCAAGGTGTTCAGAGCATTGAAACATATGGGGATGACCTGCATATCGTTGACAACTTTCTTTAAATATCAACGGGTAAGTTTTCAAGCGATGTTCTCTTTTAAAGTGACTAATGTCACTAAGTGTACTGTATCACTGTGCAAAATACTTCTGTTGAATTTTTCTAAAATAATGAATGATGAAAAAGTAGAAAGTCTATTAAAAAGTTCATAGGGAAGTGAAATAAGTTATTATATTGTACTCATTCCCCATTTTATTTTGTATTTTACATAGGAAAAATTAATTCCATCAATATATTTACATTGGAAGAAGTACCAAGCAGAGCTTCTCGATGAATTAAAAACAAAGGAAGAATTGGTGATTGCTGGAGATGGAAGGCATGATAGTATGGGACACAGTGCCAAATACTGTGCATACACTGTATTTTGTTGCACTGTCCCATACATAATTCATTTTGCTTTAATACAGGTATGAAAACGTTTTACATCAACATTTCATTGTACAGTTTTAAGAAGAGTTGTCCTATGTAAACCAAATGGCCTCATGTATGAAGAATCTGTTATAGAGCTGTTAAAATGCTATGCTAATGGCACTTATATTTTTACTTTACTAGAGGAATGAAGTGGGCAGTAGTCCAGCCATGGAATATGAAGGATTTTGCAGGAGCATGGAGTACTTGCTAAGTTTAGTGGCAGTGAAGACATTTGTATCTGATCGACACTCATCAATCACAAAACATATGAGGGAAAAGCTGTCAGACATCATTCACTACTTCGATATTTGGCATATAAAGAAAAGTATGACCTTGAACTTTCTGCCTTCTGTAATTAATTGCATACACTATTTACTGTATGTTATTGTATGCAAATAAATATAGTGGTGCATGGTGAGAAGGGGGTTCAAACTAGACTTATTTGACTGTCAAAGCTATGATGTTTTTCATATTGTAGAGGTGACAAAGGTTCTCACCAAAATTGCCAAAGTCAGTGGATGTGAAGCAACTGCAGAGTGGATAAAGCCTTGCACAAGCCACTTGTTCTGGAGTGCGCGAACAACCCATGATGGAAATGGTGAAGTGATTTGGGCCAAGTTTTCCTCCTTCCTAAGTCATATTGTTGATGAACATAAAAATCTGGAAAATCCTTTGTTCAATAAATGTGCACATATGGATATAATTCAGCCACGAAAATGGCTAGACAAAGGTATTATATTTTTATAAGAATGCAATATATATATTTATTATATAAACATAAGTGTTATATAGAGTTTTTGGCCACTGAGAAAAATCGTATTTAAACACACGTAAAAATAAAACGCATTGTCACAGACGTTTTATTGTTTTTCACTGAATTTTGTTTATATAATAAACAGAAAAGTACATGGGTGCTTGGAAATACCAGATTTATTTCTCGTGTTGAACATGTTCATCATGTTCAACACTCGAAATAAATATGGTATTTCCGTGCACCCATGTATTATTCTCTCTCTCTCTATATATATATATATGAAACATACCATCAATACCATACAGTGGATAATTCCATGGTGATTCATGGTTACATTCTGAACCAAACTATCAGAGTAATTTTGATCTGATGTAATAACTAATATTTTTTTTTCTGTCACAATTTTGCAAGCAGTTACAAATAATGGTAAGCTACTGATTCACAGACTCACAGTAAAAAATTTAACATTTGATTATAACATGATAAGACAGGTGGCCGTAAATTGGTGTGTGACTCCTGTTACTGCAAAGTGACATGAAGTAACTCCAACGTAACTACTTTTGAATTTCTTCGGGAACCATAGGAAGGAGAAACATACAATGTCTATCAAGTAACAGCTGATATGTTAGGCATACTACCAACACAAAGAAATTTTATATTTTGGATTACAACAGTAAGGATTGCTACATAATACACATGACTCATGTCATGACTCATGTTACGTGACTCATGTTACATATCAAGTACAACTTTATATTTCAGTTCAGAATTGTTTGCAATAGCTTCTGAAAATTCTTGACAACTTCCCCCCCCCCAAAAAAATGTCATCACTACCATGGAATTACCCATGTACAGTAGTAGCCAATTTGGCTTCCTATTATTGAATATTATTTTATTTTATTAGCTTCGCCGCAAGGGCAGGGTCACCACAACAGCATATGCCAATTACTATGGGCCTGTATTACCTAACCCACCCTGTCCACTTCCCCTGTGGGGGGAAACCGGTGTCCCTGATGGAAACTCGCGACTTTCGGCAGAATGTTGACTTAACTCTTTTCAAACGAGGACTGGGTTCAAGTCACATCCAGTAGCCCCTACTGAGAATCGAACCACAACCTTAGAGGTTAAAAGGCAAGTGGTTTAACCACTTTGCCACCAAAGCTCCTACTAAACAATTTTGAGCACTTATAGATTCCATTGCATACGAAAAAATCTGCTCTGCACTTACAAACAAAAGGCTGAAGAAGGGCATAATGAAAGCATCTCCTATAGAGCAGACAAGTTGCTTGGAGGGATTTCATTCTGTTTTAAACCAATTCTCCCCCAAGATGATTGGTTATAGTTACAAAGGAATGTTTTGCAGGTACAGTACATAAACATTGTGTATACCATGTGTTCGCTCTCAGTTTCATATGCTACAGTATAAATGTGTAGAAGTAAAACATGAATCGTACGTGTACAACTACTGCAGAAATTACCATCAAGTGATGGCAAACATTGTTCTCTTTCAGGCATGTTATTGCAGTAATCCATTTCAATAAAAATCTTTCTCGACAAAAACGAATGAAAAATGGTGTTGAGCAATACCACATTGTCTATCCAAAGTTCATGAATGGAAATGCAGTGGTTAGAAATGTTCCAGTGAAACAAAATTTTGGTAGGTTAATTGCACATTAGGGTTACACAAATTCATGTCTTTACTACCTCCCATATCCAAACAAGTCTGAATATATCAAATGTAATATATATTATTAGACAAAATAATATATTATATATATATATATATATATATTTATATCTTGGCCCTTGTATTTAGATTATGTAGAGGAAATCTTCCAAACAATGGTAGAATCAATTGGAACGGAAAAAATTAAGGATGCAATTGATGAACTCAATAATCAAACACCACTTCCAATGAATACCATGCTTGATAAGCAGCCACGGGAAGAGGCAATTGCAAAAAAAAGAAGGAGGGATGCTATGCAACTTGCCAATGTTCCACCAACAAACCCAGGTAACCCACAGTGAAACTCAATTTTAAACTTATGTATCCATCAATTTGAAACATCACCATCTCCCACAGGGGGAATATGAACTTTTGAAAATTTGATTGACATGTTCAAATTCCTCACCCCCTGGCAAAGTGTGTTAACATACCCAACTAAAACAGAAAAATTTATGATTGGGCAATTCCCTGACCCCCTACCAAGGAAATCTTTATGAAACTGTCAATACATAACAAAAAAATGCTAAAAACACATTCTTGCCTACTGTGGGAAAAGTGAGATTAATTAACACCGTTTTAATGTATACGACATTGATAGATTTTAGATGTCAATTTCCACCATCTTGTCTTAAGTTAACTTTTCAGGCCAAATGACTGAAGTTCTTGCTCCAAACAGAGAGAGCTGACCGACAAATTAGTGAATTAGATTCAAATTCCCCACCGTTTTCAAATTTCCCACCACGAAGAAGATTCAGAATGTCAAATTCCCTACTCCCGGGAGACACTTTAAAGTTGAATGCCAGGGAAGGAGGCACAATGTTTCAAATTAATAGATACATTAGACAATAAAACTAACCAGTACTGTAATTAATGTTGACAATATTTTATAATTTCAGTCCCTGCTGTTACAGTCAGTAGCAACACTCTTAAAAATAGGCGTGCTTAACAACACACAACTTGTGTTGTTAAACACATTGTGTGTGTTACAACAGCACACGTTGTGTGCTAAGCTTGATGATCATTACATTTTAGCACACCTTAATGTGTTCATTAACACACAAGGTGTGCTAAATAGCACAGTGCGAAACGGCAGTGTGTTTTGCAACACATCATTCATCTAACACACCTTTTGGAAAAACACACCTTTCAGACCAAAGGTGTGTTATTGTAGCACACAGTTTGAATATAACACACCTTTGGGGGAGAACACACCTTGAGAAATAGCACACCTTTTTCGGAATAAAACATCTTTTTGAAACAGCACACCTCATTAAATCCGAATTGACACACCTTATGAAAATAGCACACCTTGGAATTTAGCACGCCTTATTCAAACAGCACACCTTTCTAATATAACACACCTTTTAATAACACACGTTTTGGCGAAACACACCTTTCAGACCAAGGTTGTGTTATTGCGGCACACAGTTTGAAAATAATACACCTTTGAAGAAAACACACCTTGAGAAGTAGCACGCCTTTTTCCGAAATAACACATCTTTTTCTTAAACACGCCGTATGAAAATAGCACACCTTGTAAAATTAGCACGCTTTATTCACACAGCACACCTTTCTAGCGTGCGTGCATATATAAATTACTGTATAACTATAAGAAAATCAACAGAGATATTGTTATACATAAAGTATTTAAATGTTGATGGTGGTTTAGGAGAACGAAGACAGAAACATGTATTTATTTAACTTTGCCAAATAAGTTAAATAACATGCGACATTTACAGTAAAAATTTCAAGGTTCAAATTTAAGATGTTAAAATACACCTATCTGGTGTAAAGTAGAAACATAGTTATAAGTCATAACAATTATTCATACCTGATTTGCAGATTACATTTAAATTCCGCACAGGGGGGGGGGGTGGTGAGGACCAGTGGCGGAAATTCACTTTTTCCGGTTGGGGGGCAAAGCCTCCTAAATTTACGACAAAACTTTCAAATTTCCGACGTAACCCCCCCCCTCCTCATTTGCACTCGAAAAGACTGTTTTTAGCCCTCTTTTAGGTCAAAATTTCCGAAAATTCGTCAATTTTCCGTGAAGGTGGGGGGGGGCGGTCGCCCCCCCGCCCCACCAAGATTTCCGCCATTGGTGAGGACAATGGAAAATCCAAGGGGAGGGGTGTAAAAAAGGCCTTGGAAAATCCAGGGGTAGGGGTAATTAGAGACCAAAATCCAGGCTCATTTCCAGAGAAGGGGGTTATAAACTAAATTCCAGGTAAATTTAGCTGGTAAACAGATGTCCTCAAACCCCCCCCCCTCCCCAATGTGCGAAACATAAATGCAATCTGCCATTTTGGTGTCAGTGATGACAGGTGAAAGTGTGCCGTGGTAAACAGTAAAAATATGGAGTGGAAAAAATTATGTGGTGATAACAAAACCAACTCAAACTTTCAAAATTAATTTAAATCATAATAATCATTTTATCGAAATTAATTGGCCTGAAACTGAGTTTATAATTCTCCATTTCCAGCAAAATATCCTGGGTGGAGAGGGGGCGGAGGTCTAGCTTCCAGAACTAAAATTCATGAAATATGTTCATGTAAGAAAGATATCGAGAGATATAAGCTAGAATTTTGAAGTTAATTTTAAAGTTTCTGTCATGATCAAAAGACAGAAATACAGGTCTATTTGCGCTGGATTGGTCACATGATTGAGATCAGTGCCTTCAGCCAATCGTGTTGCCATATATGGCCTCCCAGAAGGCTTAGCGCGAGCACATTTCGAGCGCGTCGTTTGGAAATTTTATTTTAACGTCGGTTGATATGGTCAAGATTTCTTAAAATATTGAAGAAAATAAGAAGGAATACTCCATTGTTTGAAGATTCAGACAATAATATTAAATGTAAGTGTTCAACTATGTCAATATTTTAAAGTTTCGTGTGTAAATATGTGCCATAAATAGTAATATATCCCTGTATATTTTAACCGCCCTTGCCGTTGGCCGCATTTTGTTTTGTATTTGGTTCAACAATATATTGTTATTAAAATACATTAAAACTCTGTGATATTGCTTTGTATTTACAGACTATAATTTCAAGCAATAAATACTGTCATAATGTGTAATTCCAAGCAAGTCGAACTGTCGAAATCATGATGTATACAGGCTACAAGAAGGTATGAAATATACAGTAGATAGCACAAAGGAAGGATTGTTCTATCATGCAAAGCCATAGAACTTGCTTTGGCGATTATATCAATATTAGCTAAATGAGTCAATTTTGATACCCTCTCAATAGATCAATACATTAACAATATAAATATTATGTATATGTCCTTCCTTTGTGTTTATATCTATAATTATTGTGCCATCATAGTAAATAGCTATATTTCTATTTAATATCCAGACAACCCCTGAATGTTGCTAAGGGCGTGTTCATATGATCCCGCATACCGGGACGTCTCGCTTAACGAGACGAATATTTCCGTGCGTTCATATGGAATATTTCGTCCCGCTTGCCGAGATGAAATTACATTGTAGTTCTATAATTAGCATATGCAAAACTTCTACATTTCAGTCAAGCAATACAAATACTTAGCGATTTTAGTGTTTTTCTTTGTTTATTTACAAGAAAAAGTATTGCTTCAGGTGCATATTTAATACTTGTTTACAAAACAAACATAAAACCAAGTAAAAAGTGTTAATTTAAACCGGCAAGACTTGTTTGACTTCTTCCCGGTAAGCGGACTGGCGTGTTCATATGGAAAAATTTTCATCCCGCCTACCTATGATCTCAGAAAATTCAAACGAGATCTCGGCAAGCGGGCCAGCTCGCTTTCTGACATGAACACAATGCAAAATTTTATAGGAAAATGGATAGGCGGCGAGATCATCGGTAAGCGAAACGTTCCGGTAAGCGGGATCATATGAACAGGCCCTCAATCCCCTGAATACATTGAGGATACTGGATACATGTTTGAGTTTCTCATAGTTTATATGCCTCTGAGAATTTCCAGGCTCAAAATTTTATACATAAAGAAACTTTTAAGGGGCCACATCCATATTCATGTTGCCACAAATAACATTGAATCGACATTATGAGTGGCTGGGTTTTATGTGAACTTATCAACGTTATCTCATGGCAATTTGACAATTAATGTCCAAAGTATAACTATAAAGTCAAGATACAGCTGAATATTGATTGACGTTATCTGGAGTGGGTGGGTGGGTGAATGAACACTGTTATACAGCAATTATTCTTTCTTGAAGCTGAAAGTTTTAATAAACACTTCTTTCTCAGACTTACATATAGTTTTGGTGTAGATTTTTTATAATTTGATAATTCAAAAGGACATTGGTTTTCCAATTAGTTGTATGATTTGTAAGGAGAATAACAACAGCTTCTGGTTCAGTTTCTGTGTAATTAGTGTTAAGGCCGAGATGGCACATCTCTTTGCCGCCCTCGACATATGACTCATTTGACACAGGTAACACTGTTATACAGCAATTGTTCTTTCTTGAAGCTGAAAGTTTTAATATACACTTCTTTCTCAGACTTACATATATTTTTGGTAGATTTTTTATAATTT